CTAATAAAAAAATACACACTTCAGACCACCAACCAGAATAAAAGACTTCGCATCCCTAACTTAGGACAATCCGGGAATAAATAAATAATGATAACCCAAATATAAGAAAGCATATATGACCTCTCACGGTACCTTCGAGGACATTGTTCTTGTTACGAGAGTAAATTAAAAACGGGGATCACACTATGAGCTAATGTTAACAACTATCTAGGTATGAATAAATACATTCAAGAAAGGGACGCTGAGATTCTTATGTTTCCACTTTTTGTAAGAGTCTCGTATATGGCATTCTGATATCACTGCAGTGATAAGATAATTGGTGAAAGCAAAATATAGCACACAAATCGACATATATAAAATTACGTGAAGAAATTTGAATCAAGCTTTGTAATTCCAGCGTAACAATGAGTAGAAAAATAAAGTTAGCATCGAACTTTTGGCTATGACAGCCTTTTTTTACTAGATCGGAGGTCATGCGTTTAAAGTAAATCTGGTGTGTCTTTGCCGTTCACGAGTTTGTAGTCTCTTCTGGTTGGGATTTATTTACCCGTCGAATACATTAATTACCTCTGTCTTTCAAACATTGTCTCGATCTCATCCGCTTTTGCTGTATATATGTGTTTCAATCAAGCATTTTGTTAAAACGATTGGGTTTGGCATAGTGAAACCAACAATTTACCTATATCCCGTCGACGGGGATTGTCGTGTACAGTGTTTGTAGTTCAGACAAAAAAAACTGCAGGGAAAATCTAGTTGATGCACGATTATGCGGACCTTTAGGTAGATGCATTTGTCGGCTAATTTTATATGTAGATTTCTGAATTGCTTGTCGTGCAACACTAAACGGCGTCGCAAAAATGACCCTGAAGCTTCAACAAACATGATCTGTGGTTCGAACGCCACTGTTGATGGATTACATACACAAATAATTAATGTGGGTGATACTCATACCACAAAATGCAACAGTCATAGTGAAAGCATGAAGGAGACTCTTTCACTGTCAGCGGTCAGTCAACTCAATAACTCACATAGCGTCCTGGATGGCCGTTCCCTGAGTTTCGCGCCAGACGAAATAGAAACTTCAAGGGTCAATCTTATACCTAGTGAAAGTTGCAGTGTTATAATGAAGCACTCGGGAGAAAAATTAAACTCTTCAGAAAGTACCGAACTATTGAAACGCCTAGACAGAGTAGTAAAAAGACTTGAAAAGTTTGTTTCGTTGGATCCAACGGGTAACTGAGGGTTCTGTTAATCCACGCGTTTATAGCTGACGATGACTATGGGATCACGCTTTTCCAAAATATAATTTCGGATCAGCTCTCTGAATATGTAAAGGTTAGCGGCGAAATCGGGGATCTGGTAACCGAACAGGTAATTATTCCCCTTCATAATGCATACCGCTAAAGGGAAATCTCGTTCGAGATGCCTTTATGCTCACGGAAAAGCTTATGAAAATGGCCCGAAATTACTCGAAACCCCCACCTGGGGATCTGGCAAAAATTATGCAACCACTTTCATATAAACTGTTTGAAATTAATGTAGGAAGCCGATATTTTGACTATCCGTTTTTAGGAACTATCTTGCCAAAATCGCTCGCATCCTCTCTATCGTCAGCTAGTTACGGTTTCTGACTCTGCCTCTATATTGGCATGGGTCAGCATGGTACTTCATTTTTCATTTTGCAATCATATTTTAAGCCAAGCGCAAAGGTTTTCGTTCGAGACGTGGAAAATGCTGCACTGGTCTCGGCGAACACGTCAATCCAGCAGTATCGTTCCAGGTTAGCTGTTTCCTAAAGAAAAACTTGTCCATTTCCCCACTTTTTCGTTCGTGCCTTTTGTTACTGGCTTTAAACTATGTAATAACTTTCGATAGTTGCAAATTGCCGATGAAGTAGGATTTTTAACTACTACGAGGAAATGCGTTTACCAGTCAGTAAAAATTTCAATTTCTGTCTTGGACCTCCAGAATTATTAACAACTTAAAATCCGATTATATTATGTTCGACATCTTAAAAAATATTGTGTTTTATTATTCCGACAGACGTAAGCGACAAGCGAACATGCGTGTCCCAGGAAGCAGTTGAGAAGAAGAAGATCGAGTCTTCTTCTTCTCAGACGTGACTTAATATTTGCGAACCTGTAAACAACGATATTGGTCTAAAAATTAAATGTTCAATATGGATGGCAAACTATTTTCTATTTATTTACTTCAAGTTTACTTGACCTTGTTAAACTACTTTTAGTGTTATTCTTTTCTTTTTTTGCTTTTCTCCGTGCATGCGAAGCATAACTTAGATCTTAGGGTACACTGTTAAAAAGATAAACCTTCTGAATTTTGGTCTTAAGTATCCACTGACGATAATTATTTGACATATTGTTTTTCATAGCAACCCTCTATACGTCAGTTGGATCCGGTCGTGGTTACGGTGTGTTACTGCGGTGCGGAATCTAGTTGAAACCTACTACGCTGTTGGCCTAGTCTGGCGTCCGCCTGGAGGCCCCAAACCATCCATTCCAGCTTGGACTCCCCCGACCTCCACTACGTCACCTCCCGTTCATGAACCCCAAAACCCAATTACACCCGTAAGTAAAAGAAGTTCTCATATTAAAGTTTCTTCGAAGATGTGTTTTGTCACCAAGGAGCGTACCGCCAGTCACTGATCACTGGAGGATAGCGTATTTAATATTGTTTTGGGCCCATGGCTCTTCTAGTGATCCCCATTTTTCTTGTCCCTTATGCGTAAGCTAGGTTTCTTCTCTATCGCAAATTTTGCCTCTGCTCGGGGCTGCATTGAGTGAACTGTGACTTTACACTTGACCCGGACAGAATTTAACGGCGATGTTATTCGTCACCACCAAAACATCACCATCTAAACAGGTGCCTTATGAGGCCTAGGCATTACATGCACAATCACTCAAAAACGATTAAATTACAGGCTGTTGAATAAACCATCACGGAATTATGGCGTAGTCACGGGGCTCATTAGCCCACTAAAATTGATACTATCAGGAATATTTACGTTCACATTCCTTTTTTCAGACCTGACTCCTTGTTATTCTACTCTCAGCGAAGCACTCACTTTTTCTTATATTCCTGTTTGCGGATATTTACAATTTAATAGTTCAGCACCGCCTCCCGTCCATATATTACCCTTTTCCGTGGCCATATCAAATCCTTCGGATCTTGTGTCTGATTTTAATTCGATAGAGTATTCGAGATATTGAATCAGGCCTTTCACCCCTCTTGCTTATTATGTGTTAGTTTTGACAACTTCATGTTACCACTATGGCACGTACTTATCAACTTCTCATCGAAACTCTGTCTTAATCTACTACCTTGCTGTCTTCCTCAACCCTTGGTGGTCCAATGTGAATGTCATAGTCTATCAAACACGTGGCTGACTCCTAAATGAACTTCATGCATGCATGTTTACTTGCTGATTTTGGATACCCGTACCAATTAAAAATTTTTTATTGAAAACATGCGCAAAATATTATTTCTTTTACCTATTAGCTAGTAAATCACGTCTTCGACTTTTCCACTCAAGGGGGTAAGGTATGTTTAAGTTTCACAAATTGCCCATTTCCCGAATAATTTTGAGTCCGATCTGTCGTTCTGTTTGCGTTTAGAGTTTTCAGTGTGCAAGCTATATGCTATAGGAGGACAGGAAATCAGCCTGTACACCCTAAGGATAGGGTTGGCTATTTGGACAGACGAGAATTCGTCTACAACATTCCTTGTGGTGACTGCAGTGCAGTTTACTGTGGACAGACAGGAAAATCAGCCTCTACACGCTTACATGAACACTAACAAGCGGTTAACAGGCAAAATAACTTGTTCCAGGTCGCCATGCACACACTAAAAACTGGGCACAAATTCGCATGGGACCGAACTTGCGTTGTTGGCTTTTGCCCATGTAGGAAAGGCAGGGGGTTTTTAGAGGCCATTAACTCCGGTGACTCATGCATTTTATAGGCACGTCGAATTAGATGTTATGTACGCCAGTGTTCATAAAATTTTGCGATTGATGTGGATTATACTATACCGCCTGCACAGCCCCAAAATATTGAACAGTTAGGAAGAAAGTTTAAGACCCAAACGTTGCCTTTTTTCCAGCAAAACATTGAAGATGTGATTCGCCATCAACTGTGCGCGGAAAATAATATTTTTGCTTTTTTTTTCTATAAAGCATATTTGAATGCGTAAAGGCGTCGAAAATCTCTTGAAAAATTTTAGCTACTTAAGCAGTGTTTTTTTAATCGAGTGTGGATCCTACAGGAGGTCAACGTAACGTTCATTTAAAAGCCGGCATCCTGGTCTCTTGAACATTTTTAGATGTTACTCCAATGCGATAAATACTACAATTCCATTCCTAGTCCACAACCCACTTTCAAATATTGATTAACATCATATGAGATTGGTCACTGGCTATATGCTGAATGACAATGGCATAAGTTCTTGTTTCGTCATTATGATCTTAACTATTTCTCTTTAGCCCTAGTAAAGACATCGGTGATTTTAGTATAAATCAGACACACGATGGTGAATAGAGTGCATAGTTTGGTGAAGACTGCGGTTTAGTTTATTAGGACTGAGAATTCGGTTTCTGACTCACCTGCTCTTTGAAAAGAACCGACTGGGTCGTCTCTCTACCTCCGACCAATATTAGGCTGTGTTTCACAGCCGAGATTCTATCTTCGTTGCCTTGAAAATCATTTTTTACCGGTGTTTATAGGGTGCCTTTATGCTTGCTGATGTATAATGAATTCAATGCGTACGCAAATATTTAAAAATTTAGGAGCTTCTACAATGCACTTAATGTATTTTATCCTTGATTTAAAGCAGTTTTTCTAAACACACGTAAACCTGCATATTTTAGAGTCGTGAAAATGCTCATGACAATATCTAGAAGACTAGTTGGCGAGCATTGGTTGACTTCCGATAAATCTCCCTCAAGCCAGTACATTTATATGTGGACGGGGTCGAATAAAATCTGTCAGCGATCGGACAGTTCAATTCGAGTTTGCCTTAAAACACAAGCGTGTTGTGAGAATATGGGGAAGGGTGGGGTAGTAAGACGCAGTGAGTATTATGAAGAGTCAATGTCAGGGGGATAAAAGGGCGCCAAGTGTTGGCATGCGGTTAATCGACCTTTGATCACGATGAGTGCGGAGCCTGTATGAGGTTCTTCTGAGTACACAAGACCGGCTTTCGTAACCTTGTAGCAGCCACTTCTGTTGTTGATAACAGGCATTGGTCCAGTAGCTTAGAGTAGTTCAGTGGGGCCTTATAAATCGTACGAAAAGTTTCGTTGACCCCCTCAAGATCCACGGAACCAAAAAGTGGACGAGAATAGCGCTGTTTATGCTCCTAACCTCGCCTTTTCTCAGCCACACTGGGGTTTTCTCGCATTCTGTGGGATAGATGTTGACTCTTACGACCAATTTAACCTGAAAATTGAGATGAGAACCTGTCCTTACCTTTTCCTCGTAAAACAGAGAATAATATGTGAACCCTTGCTGCTGAGAAGGTTCATGAGGCAGCTGTATCAGGACGTTTTCTTAGCGTCCGCTTGGAAAAGAGCTTTGAGGAACGCTGTTTTTTGGCAGTCAGTATGTTGGGTTTTTCTGGTCGCTCGGAAATGTTCTTTGGGCAAAATTGATTTGTTGGGCCCCTCTAGGTATCTATCTCCCCCCGCCCAACTGCTTAAAGTATTTTGTTGTCAAACATTTAATTCGTGGCTGCTGAGTGATATTTAATATGTAATTGTGGCGGAATTGATCAAAAATATCAAATTAAATAAGATTATGTTTCTTTAAATATGTTAAATAGAATCAAGTTCAATAAACATAAACTTCTGTTACGCGGGATGCGAATGCTAATCGAAGGAAATTCGACTT